CACTACAACACGAAATTGTGCAAAAACACATGGCTGAATCGGCAAGCCTGGTGCGCTCTGCAATTGGTTCAATTTGGACATTTTTCAGATGACATTTTTGTTGCATAAAGTCTTCCAAAACCAAACCCGTATTTGCCGCATTCTATCAGTATTTTCTTCTCCGCATCAGCAACAATGGAACCCATATCTATGCCGGCGTGCACCTGAGCTAAACAAATAAGAAAATGTAACTATCCAGCATTTTTGGACTTTTTTAAAGCTCAGTATCCCAAGAAACATTTGTTGATACGGAACTCACCGGGGTCGATTTTTGCCGAATCACGATTGACTATAATAAAAGCACCGCCCATCATGCACAGCGTAATAATAACACCAACTAAAGATGTAAGTACCAAAGTTCGTCTTCCGAGCCGTTCAATCAGTTTTAGCGGTGGTATTGTCCCAACAACTTGTACTGCTACAAATGAGCACAGTTAATATCTCTTTCGGGGTACTAAACGATGGAGTTAGAAAATTTTAGAATTAAATTAAAATTAGAAAATTAAAAGTCAGAAAATTAGAGAACTAAATTAGAATAGAACAGTTTTTAAAAATATTCCCTTGCTTTTCATGAATCTCATTGATTCTGAAATCGTTCATTTAATGCGTGCGAGGAACATACTTGAAACAGCGCATGAAATCCATATTGTGGTGATTTTATCGCGTATTCCGGCAGATCGGATTATTGTACTCGTGTAATACCTTAAAAAAAGAGGGAGTTTCAGAATTCTGCAGTGTTGGGACTTGAGGCCGCGAGTGAGATATGGCCTAAGGCACATACGCTCGAACAGTATTCTTTTAAAAAGCAGAACATTTTTAAGCCTTTATTCATTATTCTCTGCGGGCATGGCTACGACTTGCCTTTGTTTGCGCTTCGGTAATATTTGTTTAATTTTTATTTAATTGTGTATAATATTTTGACGAGATGTAAGATCTAATCCATGAGCAAAAGAAACGTACAAGATGGCATTGATTGCAGCGAGCTGCTGGAACATTTGTAACGCGCAACCAAGCATCAAAGCCTTGCGCACATGTTTTGTTCGCAGAACTCGCCACAATACAAATTCATTACCTGTAGAAAAATGCGTCTTAAAATCAGACTTCATCCATGTGAATAGGATATTCAGAGTCATTTAATGGTACCAGACATACCACGTTCTTGACGCATGATCACTTCGCGCTGCATTTCACGTTTTACTTCGCCCATTTCATAATCAATCCACTTTTTATCGTCGCCATACAGTTTGCGCAGCACCTGTTGGGCTTCCGCTTGTCGCCCATGAGTGATCAAGTAGCGTGGCGTTTCGGTTAGAAAAAGAAAGCCTATGAGCTGGAATTTATGTCTTTAGTAAATTTTTTACATCTCTCTCTAAATCAAGGATAATAGGGCCATCCAAAAGATCAGTGTTGAAATCCCATAATACTTATATTACCACGATGGTTTCACACGCTGGGCACAACAAAGCCAGGCCTTAATATAAATAGG